AAAAAAATCATTCAATTCTTTAATAATAACATCACAAAGATGTTTCTTAGAGGAATCCCATCATTTGTATTGGTAAACAATAATCACACGTTGTTTTAAAGTAATATTTTATGGCCCAATAAAACGTAACATCCATGACTGCACGTGTTTTGCATGAAAACGTTACAACAATAAGTAGAAATATTTTAAGCAAAACAAACAAACAAACATTGCTTGGTTTAATTCGTCATAAACTAGTTTATTGTAAATACAAGACTTTTTAAATGGTTACGTTGGTAGTTTTACGGGGATGTAACAGCGTAGATCGTAGGCAAATTGTTATACTTGAGCATTATATCCAAAATGTGTTTCAGCCAACGCTTTTACATGTTAATAAAACAACAAAACGAGTTTTATTCTTAACCGAAACTCTGATTGTAAGACATGAGTTATTTCAGTAGTTCTGTATTTTCATAATTCTATTTCTTAAATTATGTGTTCTTCAATCTATCAAGAAAATCATTAGATTTGTATAACATATGTTCCTTTATGGCAATGTATTGCACTCTGTGGACAATGAACTATAATTCTATCCTTACATTTTTGGTTTAATTCTAATACTTCTTTAATCTGTGTTTATTTGTTTTACAATATTGATTTCATTTATATAACAGATGTTCTCTAATATCAGAAGCAGTTGTAATTATTAGAATTGAATGATTCTTTTTATAATTTTATAGGGTTGTAAAAGCGTTGATCGTGCACACATTTTTAATGTAAAAAATGTGCTTCGGTCAACGCTTTTACATCCCTATAAAATTTTAAAAAGAAGCATTCAATTCTGATTTTTTCTTTATTTTCCCAGGAATGATCCTTTCATCAATATCGTCACTGTAAAGATAAAATTTTGTAACAGCGTATTATGATCGTTTAAAGTCATATGAAACGAGTTTCTTGTATTTATATTGTTAAGGAAATTATTGAACCAGTGCATGCATATACTAAACCAAGTCCTCTATGCACGTTTTCGTTTTACATTTAAAACGAATTCATAGCGTATAATTGACAAAAAAATATTTCATTTAGTGATTGTTGATCGAAACTTTGGGAATTAGTTTTGGGGTTTTGTTGCCGAAGTTTACCGTTTGTGACCTTAATAAACAATAAACACATAATGATGGAGTTAGTGAAAAAAAAGTGAGATGATAGAACGATGTTTATTTTTTTTTTTTTTTAATTTTCCATGCTTTTCATTTGTCACTTGTTAAATGATATGATGTATACATAAAAACGGAATCAATTGACACTATCTACATTCCTTGTTTGTTTTCCTTTTCTTTCATCACGGTTTTCTCTCGCACTTCCGGTTGCCAAAGTTCTAATGAGATGTCTCGTTGTTAAGGTCATTGTATACGGAAAAGCTATTGGGGAATCACTGAAAAGTACGGAGAGACAATAATTCAACAGCAGCAGAATTCTGAAGATTTTGATAAGATAAAGGATTTTCTTTTAAAAGAATGTCCATGTACACGTGTTTTATAGTAGAACTTAACCATTTAAATGAGCATCTGGTGGAGAAAAATCGGTATATTTATTGTTATTACTACTACTGAGTCGATACCTTTTCTGGTAGACTGCTCGTCCAAGAGGGTATCAGCAGCCCAGTAGCTAGTGCTTCGGTACTGGCATGGAACTACAGAGATTGTATTTTTCAAATGTGCTGTTATAAAATTTTGAAAATCATTCTAAACTAAGAAATATCATGCTCTGATTCCTTGCTCGGCTTTAACAATACTTTTTGTCCATTTTGCTTTAAAAGCTCTTCGTTTTTGAAGGAGCTTGGAATTTTTAAATAGTTTGGCCTCGAGCATCACTGAAGAGACATTTCTTGCCGAAATGTGCATCTTTGGCCTCTATCAACACTGATGAGACATTTATTGTCGAAATGCACATCTGGTGCAGAAAAAATTGGTACCGTTAATGTTATCAAGACATATTCCCTTGTATATTTGAAGTATCATAGGACTTTGAGGTACATGTAAATTTGACCGTAGATAATTTAGACTTCTCCATTGTATAGCTTATAATGAATTTATAGATAGTTTGTTGTCCAAATGTTTGGCTGAGTGGCTGTACGCTTTTGACACTTGTTTTTAAAGAAAAATACAAAGCTACCAAAGTAGCTCTTTTTTAAGATCTTGCTATTGATATTCAGGTGTGAGCAGCAGTTTTATCTAAGCATGACAGTTATGATGTGTCAGACATCATGGTGACATAACAGATGATTCTTCTTGTGTCTTATAAAAAAAAAAACATAAATTGAAAAGGATTGAAGATTTTGTCTATTTTTGAAAATGCCAGAGTATAATACCTTCTCTTATCACACATCCTCTCTGAAGTATAAAATGTAAATTACTTAAGAATTTGGTTTTGACGTCAGATAATTGGTCGTCTCTGTGGAATTCATTCACGACCTATCTAGACACGGGGCGATACGAATTGTCCATCGCTAAAGATCATGCCATAAAAAGTAGATCATTGTATTTGTTATTCTTTGATTTTCTTTTTTACCTTTTTCAAATCAAAAGATAAACATATGTTTTGGTATTTAATATTATAGATCAAACTTCAGATTCATCGTTCAATCTAGCATCACAACTGTGTTCATGTGATACCTTGCTCGCCCTGAGGGCGTAAGGTCGTGGGTACGATCGCCAGCCGGATAAAACCTTAGAATTGGAAAATATTACGTGGCATTTAGGAGTAAGAGCAAAGACTGATCAGCCCGGAGCCAGAATAAGTTGTCCGGCTAGGGTGACATATCCTCCTAAAGACTGCCACCACGTGAACTAGCACGTTACAACTCTGGCTCAGCGTTTCATATTCATGTTATTGATTTTGATATGTTAGTTATATTTACCACTGAATGCTTAACACCATTCCATCCATCGATCATTGTTCACTTTTATTTCTTTAACACACAAAAACTGTAGAAGGTCACGATATATAAATTTTACATGTGGAAGTTTTAGACCCCATTACATGCACACACAAATATATACTGACTTGAAACATCTGTATTGTTACATATTTTATTTCAGATTTCTAGGAATTTTGCAATACTCGGCAACAAATAAATATCTAAAATATTACAATTATCCAATGCTACAGCATTTTTATTTGTTTTTTTTTCTGGCAAGTATCCCCATTACTGTTTCCGTCGACTTAGTTCCTGGGACCACTTGAATTATGCGTCATTAACCACAATTACACTGCAAATCTAAAAACAACTATAGGCTAACTAATTAACAATTTTACTGACGTTGTGTCTTAAAATCTGACGATGAGTAGTTTTTATGTTTAGTATGCGTGTAATATAATAACAATTACTCTATAAAGAACGGTTTGTGAGGGATATTTATCGCACATATTGAAGCACGCAATACAGAAATGCATGTCATTTGCTGAATTCTCCTTGAAGGAATTAGTTGTACACTTAACTAGAAAGATACCTTTACGGTCAATAATTTGTTTGAGCAAGTAGCCGAAGCTAAGGTTGATACAAAAAGCTTTTTAAAAGTTCGTTTGTTCTTGGAATAAAAACAATCTAATGAATCGAATTAATTCTGCCCTGTTTTATGTTGTTGTTTTGTTACCAGATCTCCACCTAAGACGTTTTCCACTAAGGTCCCTGCAAAGATCCTAATAAAGTTGCATGTAATTCTATACAGTTAAGTTGTTTTCTCGCTATGCTACCTCAAAGAGGCATTTCGAATTAGGCTCATATTTATCAAATATAAGTCTTTTTAACCTAATACTGTTTTTATCTTTTTGACCATTTTGTTGTCTGCTTTTTTTTTTACTTATGACTTGACTGTCCCCCCTTGATAACTTCTTACTTTTTTATATGCTCGTTGAACGTTTTGAAATGGTATTTATGTAACATTTATAAAGGTCACATAATTATTTTCTTATTGAATGTTTTCTAATGTCACAGTATGAAACGACACATCTGTTTACTGTATAGAAAACTGTACATATGTTTTACAATTTTCATCAAATGTTTTTTTTTATCAATTTGACTTTATACACAAATGATTTATCAGCTGTCCGAAGAATCGTAAGTATTTTCTTCTGGTCACAAAATCATTTCATGTTTTATGAATAAATCAAGATTTAATTGAGAACAAAATACAAAATATAATGCAGTAATGAAAGGGTTTTTTTTTTGTCTTTCCTGAAAGGCCTAATGATAAATTTGAAATACATCATACTTTAACCTGCTGCAATGAAATTGAAGAAGAAAACGATTGTATACAATACATATTGAGTATAACCCATTCGAGATGAATAATTTAAATTTTATTTGAGAATTATTTGGTCAAATAACCTCGGTATCCTAACAAATGCTAAGTGGAATAGAGTGTTGTTGCCTTAGAACCATTTTTTTGTTTGTTTTGTTTTGTGTATTATCATCATTATTATTATTATTATTATTATTATTATTATTATTATTATTTTTATTATAATCATTATTATTATTATAATTATTATTATTATTATTATTATTATTATTATTATTATTATTCAATTGTGGTTTGTTATACAAATTAAACAAAATAACATATCTATTAAATTGATCTTCATTGTGAATGTCTTTGAAAGTACATCAATACACTAGTTGCATTATTATCAGTAGTGGTAATCCTTCTTTATTATAATTGTCTGCTTGTTTCCATTTCAATAACTATTAAGAGCAAAATATTACAATTGGATATCAATCATGCTATAGGAAAATAAATAAAAAATCCCCTATCAATTTCCGATCCTTCTTTTATTTAACTGCGTTCTAGTTTCAATCAAAATAGCAAACATGATATATGATATTTTGTCATAATAATGATTGTTAAAATATTATTTTTTTTAGATATAATTAATAATATTCACAAAATGCTTTTGTTATGAGATTTTTTAACCGAAATTCATTTAGATATTCCATATTTTTACTTCAGGTGACAAGGAAAAAGACATGGAGAATTACACGAATGCAACCAATTTAACTCGGATTTCAGCATTTTTACACAAGAACGATAGTGTTGTTTTCTATAACTTTGTGGCAGGACTATATGTATATGCCATACCATTAATCTCCGTTATCGGCGTCATTGGAAACGTTTGGTCTTTTAAAGTTTTTGTGTTTACAAGTTTTAACAAACATCCTTCCAGTATTTATCTGGCAATGCTTGGAGTATCGGATACTTGTTTTTTAATTGCACTGATATTTGGATGGATCGGAACAATACACAACACAACGGTGAATACAGGAGTTTTATGTTTGGTATCAGTGTATATAGCTTACGTGTCAAGTTTTTTGTCAGTATGGTATGTTGTGTTAATCATGGTAGACCGTTTCATTGTTGTCTGCTTTCCGTTAAGAGGATATCGACTTTGTTCAAAACGACGCTCACTTATAGCTGGAACTGTAGTTACAGTATTTGGTGTTTTATTTTATAGCCATTCCTTTTTCACAGTTCAAGTTGTTCCAACACCAGGAGGTTTTTCTTGTCAATTGAATAACGATTACAGACATCTTGTAACTGTGATCACATATATTGATACTGGTATAACTTTTGTATTTCCGTTTGTCGCCATATTTGTTTTAAACACTGTTGTCATCGTGACTATTCGGAAATTCAGCTTCAAGCATGTAACACTACGCGGAAACAAATATTACTCGCCGCCACACAATATTCTTTCGAATGCACAAATGAGACTGACAGTTATGTTGATTGTAGTGGCTATCGTGTTTCTAGTTCTAAACTTACCGAGTCATGGGATTCGATTCTACATTCTAGTTAAGGATCTTGCCCAAACAAATGATTTGGTGTTGTTTTTGTCCCAACAGATATGTCAAATATTATATTATATCAATTTTTCTGTAAATTTTACCTTGTATGTTTCTTCAAGCAAAACATTCCGACGATGTTTGTTTGAAAAAGCCAGATGTTTAAGGCACTGATTTTTAAAAGGATAGCAAGCTGTTGTTGGAGGTACAGTTATAACAAAATTGTTGTTTAGTAAATTATAATCAAACATTCCTTTGGTGTTATATGAGTTAAAACTACTGGTGTTCAGAATATCACGCTTCTTTTAAATTCATCAAAATGAAAATGTCCGTGTGCGTGACCTTTAATTACCGAAATAATGCCGGTAAATTAGTATATCTGATTTTTTTCAAAGGGAACAATGTATGAAGGACATCCATTAAGACAAGGAAAATTATAGAAGGAATAACAAAATGTATAATTAAGATGTATATACAATAACAATGAAGAAATAGACGACAGTTGGGCGATTTTTAATGCATTGCAAGAGAACTTGCAGAAAAGTAAAAATTTAAAAATGCGAGCAGCGATCATTCCTAATCAACGACTAAACCCAGTGTTAAAAGATTTAACGTCAAGCAATATATCTGGATGTTATCATTATTTTTATTCAATATTATATATTGATTTTTAATAAGCAAGAGACGGAAAGAGTGAAATATATTTAAATAATTTCTACGAACAGCTATTAATTCAGTAACTCACATTATGTATTGCAATATAAAGAGGACGTATTAGTATGAAAAGATCACATTGCATGAAGTTGCTGATGTAAAATAATAACTTAAGTCAGCTTAAATTTGATAAATTTTCGAAAATATATTATCAAGTTTTGAATTGCATTATTTATTTTTCAGTGTATCGTTATCTATTGAGTAAACAAACCGTGACATTATTTAAAAATTATTTTGCCCAAGTAATTAAAATATTGCCCATTATGTCTTATAGTGAAAGATTCACAAAATAAACAACCCATAATGGAATGAATGAATTGACCGAGATGACAACAAATCAGGTTTCTGTTCCTATAGAATGTAATTTAAATACTGAAGGAGAACTTCTTTAAGTGTTATGATAATTTATATTTCAAAGAATAGTACTGTTGCTGACAAATTGAAAGGTTTCTCTGATCATGAAATATGCCTCCCTTTGTACAGCATTGTTTGGTTAGTGCAAGACTTGTTTTCTGTAGAGACGTAATGAATAACTTTTTAAATGATTGATTAATATCCTAGAAAAAAATGGGTAAATGTCTTTTAAAGCCGACTATACGGTATTTTGTTTCCCTCTTTGTTGAAGGCCGCACGGTTGCCTATAACTGCTTGCATCTACGGTTGTTTTTAAACTTTGGTGGATATTTGTCTCATTGGAAATCATACCACATCTCCTTATGTTTATATTAAAATATTAGTTTGCTACAATTTTGGCTAATGTGTTATCATTTTGTTATTTGATCGCATATGACTTATTTTTTATTGGTTTTGTTCCATTTAACCAGGTTATTGGTTGCACTTCTGTAAATATAGACAATGCAATTTCCCATAGGAACTCCCTTTGCTGCTAAAGCTGAGCCACTTTTACTATGAAGTTTCGTAAAACATTTTATCCTAGAACGGAAAGTTGATATGCACTACTTTTTTATTCAAATGTCAAAACATAGGGCTGTGCGGCATATTTTCAACATTTATATGCCCCGAACTTCTAAGAGTTTAAACTTATACTAAAATTCTGTACTATCCCTACCTCCACTTTGGGTGTCCCTCAGAATTCAATAATCGCCGCTACCATCTGTTTTTGTACTGGTAACATTCCCAAGTTATTTCTCTATGAGATGAAACATAGAGATCATATTTGGGAACCAGTACGTAAACAAAATTAAATATCTATGAATATTATATATCTCCCCAAAAGAGGCGTGGCTTGTGAAACAGTTGTATTTACAAAGTGCAACCTAAAAGGAATGTGAGTATATACATGTACATTTTTGGCACAGTACCTCAACGACACAATAAAAGCAAACAAAAGACATCGAAGGTGCTACAAATCTTTTTAGATTTGTAGACAAGTGTGCACATTACATGTGAAGTTCTTAATTGCCTCCAGCACCCTTTCCCCCTTTCCTCGAGTCTCAACAAGTTGTTAATGAATTCAGCAGACTTTACAAAAGATGTTTCATCTACACAATAATTCTTACAATGGACAATTCATATTTAAAGAAATAAACAACGAAAGCCACACTATAAAGATACACATTAATATGTTGGTTAGCCATAAAACCAGGTTCAACCCACCATTTTGTTTTCTTAAAATGTCCTATACCAAGTAAGGAATACGGCAGTTGTTATCAAATAGTCCGTTTCTATGTACGTTGGCGTTTGTTTTTGTTGCAGTTCAGTGTTTCTGTTGTTCCGTTGTTTTCCTCTTGTAGTTGGTGTGTTTCCCTCGGTTTTCGTTTGTAACTAGGATTTGTTTTCTCTTGGTTGATTTGTGACATTTGAACGGCGGTAAACTACTGTTGCCTTTGTTTTGTACATATTCAAGAGATCCTGGTTACTTTTTAACTTTATGAAAATGGATATAGAAAGAACAATATTGGTAACCTAATTTACAAACAAAATCATATTTTCATTTTTGGTGTGTTCAAACCGCTTTATTTATACCAAATTAGCCAATATCGACGGAAAACAAATACGAACATCAGTGATAACTCTGTAAGTTCATTTTTAGGTCAAAAGAAATTCTAGCATTTGTCGTCTTCACGAATATGTTTAATTCGATATATACCTCATAAAGAGTCGCGAAACCTCCTACTCTAGTCCTTATTTCTCATCGTTTAAACCTAGTTTCAGTAGGGACAGTAATGAATATGTATTAGAAGAAGAAACTGTTGTGCGATATATATTTAAACCAAAATTCTCTTTAAACCTAGTTCATAACCTATACAGACGTTTATTCTATAATGTGAACAAAATGAAAGGGTCATAGAATTTGTATAACTTCCATAACACAAATTACAAATTTCTTGAACATGGATAAACCCCAATGAGACGGCAATATACACGAAGCAGCAAAACTTTACATAGAAAGATGTTAAAGAGAACACATTACGGCTAAATATCGCGAACTAAAGCGTTCTGTAATCTTGAGAGTCATACACATTTAGTTCAACAGATGGTAATTTTATCTATCTTAGGAAAAACTCAATATATATATAAAAAAAAAAAACGGAATAGGGAACAACAATTCCAGACTCAGCGTATATTCTGAAATGTTAATATTGATCTACACTAGTCCATATGAAATAGTTGTCCAACACGGTCCCCCCAATGAAGAACTTGAAGTATCCACTTACAAAAAACAATATAATTTCCTTTATGATATCATCTTGATGCCAAGGTTTCAAACGTTATGTTCCATCACCTCTACCGAGAGATTCCTTTCCTTTGATAAAGCTATGATGTGGATGATGAACGTTGTAGTTAGTCGATTGAGATCTTCCTTCCTGCAATCAGAACATTTCGATTGAGAGTAAGGTCTGGCTTACAGTAAAGACTATAGTCACTACGATGGCCATTTATTCCGCTTGAAATAGCTGTTCTTCTTGTCATATTTACATTCTAGGAGTTACATGTACGCACTAACTGATCCCGATTAAGAGTGCAAATCAGCTTTTATCAGCCTTTAAATCTTTAGAGTCTTCGAAAATCCAGCATGGACATCGTTGGGAAAATCTTGAATGGTCGAGGGTGTTTTTCTGATTTCCCTCCAATTCTGGAAATGTATGACAATTTATGCCAAAAACTTGGATGATAAGGCAGTGCAAATGCTGTACTGGCCCATGAGTTTTTTTCCCCCTGAAAACCTGGCAGTAGGCAATGCCATTGGGCTTGCTGTACACACTTGTTGACATGATCCTATTCTCACTTTTGAAGTAATGTCACGGAAAGTGATATACTATAATATTGAGGGTGTTGTTGGCATGGCGAATGAAAATATATAATTCCTGTTTGGAATTGTCTCACTTCATGTCAACCGAATCAAGAAATAGATTGGTGTTAAAAAGGTGTATGAATTTGACAAAGGACAGAACAATTAATGTATCTATTGCTATTTCTTAAACACCGATACGTATGTGTTATAAATGAATGTGAAGCAATTGCATTCAATTCCTATGTACATGCTACCAGCTTGGCCAAAAATTCAGTTTTAGTGTCAAATAAGTGGTGCGAGTCCTAAATTATACATGCATCTATCCTTTTTAAAAGTCAAAGGTGGTTCAGAACAATTGACCTCTTTATGCTCCACCACCCATGACGTTCCTGTCATTAAACATATATCACTAAAACACACGCAAAATCAATGTGAAACATAAGAATTTAAAGGTTTTCTTTAGATTTGAAAACAGATTTGTTTCAGTTCTAAAGATATATCATTAACGTCTCTACATATTAAACAGTTGGCAGTCTTAGGAAAGTAAACTTAGAAACTTTTACTTTCAACAGATAGATGAACGGACAGTGTTAAGAAGGTAACTGTATTTTCGGAGATTATTGCGAATAATGCGACTGGGTGAGTATCGCAATAACAAAAACCCGCATTCAGATATCTGTTACATATATCTGTACGCAGATTTTCCTGAAATTTCAATAATTAATCTTGCATTTTTGTCTATTTATAAAACATCGCAATAATAAATGCGCGAAATAATTTCTGAATTAACAGTTCTCCCCAAGAAAGCATTTTGAAATTAATATGCACGTTCGTAAAAAGTACACTTAATAAATAATGTTTGAAATTCCAAATCTTAAAAACATAGCTGAAGAGCTGATAAAACAAAAAAGCACAAAAAGTATAGCCAAATCCGAGCAAAGAATCAGAACATTGCAGGACATGCATAAAGCTTTATAATTTTGCCACGTGCATTTTTGATATTTTATCATTTTATAATGTACTAATTTTAAGAATGTAAGAGTTGCATTATCTTATCTTCAAGCGTTTCTTCTATAACTCCAGACTCAACCGACCCACACTACTCAAATCAAAGGACTTTTCTTCTATACAACTTTGTACAAATGTAGATAAACGGAATGATATCTCGATAAACCAAATGACGATCTTGAATTCAAAGGTCTCTGTTAAATTAATTCCCAACTTTTATAGACGCGACACATTATAATTTAGAGCTTGCAACATTGTATAGACACCTATATGTATAAAATTGTATATATGGTTGCAAACTGTGTAATTACCTTCACGTGTCTTTTGGGTATATTTGTATGTCGTTGGAATGTTGCCTCATTGATGTTTATCCCACATATCACAAGGAAGTGGTGAAGCAGGATTTGTTTACCCTTCCAGAGCACCTGAGATCACCCCCAGTTTTTGGTGGGGTTCGTGTTGCTCAGTCTTTAGTTTTCTATGTTGTGTTTCGTGTACTCTTGTTGTCTGTTTGTCTCTTGGTCCTTTCTTTTTCAGCCATGGCGTTGTCAGTTTTTATTTTCGACTTACGAGTTTGAATGTCCCTCTGGTATCTTTCGCCTCTCTTTTTCCCTTTTATTCATATCTACACTTCAATTTTCTATCTTGATAAGTTCACAGCCCTAGTTTCATAGTGGTCAATGATCTATTGACATTAATCAAGCATATATTCATGATGGATCATCTATAACTCAATATTCATAGTTAGTTATTATATCTTACATTGATAAATATGCCATAGTATGAGTATACATGTAATTATATTTAATATTGATAGAATGGAAGTG